TCCATTACTTTCCTGAAAGAGCATATGAGAAAGATTCAGTATGGTATCAATCCTTTCAATCAATGGCTCACTGACTTGTTTGAAACAAGGTGTAGATGGTTGCTGGGTTTAGTCACAAGGGGATTAAGGATTTGGTTTATGGTGGTGGTAATCATCGTTGTGTGTTGTAAGTATAGCTAAAGAGTCACTTGTAAAACTGCTGTGTCGGGCTTGGTTTGCTCAAAAGAAGAAGGGGGAATTGTTGAGGGATTTCTTGAAACAGCAAAAATCCCATGGCTTGCTGTAGCTGAGCAAACCAAGCTACCAGGGCAACTATGAGAAGTTCCCATGACAGTGTTCCCACATCGCCCAATTGAGGAACTCAGAAAAATATTGTTACCAGTAGCTGGCTTCAAGGACAAGGTCTATGTGACTGCTAATCACAAGGGGGTTGTTTTCTTGCAGGTGGGGTTGTTTTCTTGCAGTTGTTTGTCTGAGTGCTTTTGACCAATAATCTTGTGTGAAACACTGTCCACCCCTGTTAAGTTCTCTATAAAAGTTAGGCTATTCGGGCAATAAAATGGAGCATGATCTGACTCTACTGTGTGTCTGTCGTGCTTTCGGCCGTGCTTCCTGCAACAGAGTCTGGGGCAACTTTTCAATGAAGACTGTCTGAGAAAGCTGGTTCTCTTCAGCCTGGAGAGACCCTATAGCAGCCTTCCAGTACCTAAAGGGGGCCTAAAAGAGGGTGCTTTAAAATTAGGTATAAGGAAGACATTCTTTCCTTTGGGGGTGGTGGTCAATGGAACAGGTTGCCCAGAGAAGTTGTGTCAACCCATCCCTTGGCCCTTTGTGGCCAGAAGCCAAACCACGATGGACACCAGCCCGCCCCCCCCCCCCGCAAAGCTGGTGTTTAACCTCATATTTCCTGCATGGGGCCTCCTCTGCACCACCCAATCTCAGCTCCCACTTTGCCACAAGTGCTCTGCATGGGTGCTACACAGCCTAACTCTACCATGGCCTGCCCTGGCTCTGCCATCCCGCTGGGCAGGGGAGAGGGTGGCCACAGCAAAGGGATGCGTTTGGGTGTGGAATGTGTGGCCTGGAAAAGACAAGCAGTCGAGGGAGAGGACAGGGCGAGGCAGCAAAGGCAGCACCTGTTGGTGCGGGGCCACGTTTGTACCAGTGTAATAAATGGCTCAGTCTTCAAAATAGGACTATAATCAAAGTTTACAATTTATTAAATGAATACAGGTAAGCAAGCAGCACTGGGTGCGCTGGGAGTCTCTGCTCCACCTAGACGCAAACCAGTTACATCAAGCGGATGATTTTTATGCTCCTAGGCTGATACATATTCATTACTACTTCAAAAAAAAAAAAAAAACCAACAACCAACAGGGTTATTATAATTAGTTTCCGGAATCCAAACCCTCCTACTGGAGCATGTGTATCAGTCTCTGGTGTTCACTCTGGGGGTGTCAGGGGGTCTCTCATGCTGAAGGCTCATAGTCTTCCTCACTCTTCTCCTTCTCCTTTGTCCAACTTGGCTGTATGTCAGAGACTTGTGCAGCGTCCCCTGCAAGCTTAGTCTTTTAGTTGTTCTTCAGTTCTCCCCGTCTCCTTAATCTCCTGGCCAGATATCAGAGACTTGCATGTCCCATGCAATAGTCACAGAATCACAGAATAACAGAATTTCTAGGTTGGAAGAGACCTCAAGATCATCGAGTCCAACCTCTGACCTAACACTAACAGTCCCCACTAAACCATATCCCTGAGCTCTACATCTAAATGTCTTTTAAAGACTTCCAGGGATGGTGACTCCACCACTTCCCTGGGCAGCCTGTTCCAGTGTCTAACAACCCTTTCAGTAAAGAAGTTCTTCCTAACATCTAACCTAAAACTCCCCTGGTGCAACTTTAGCCCATTCCCCCTCGTCCTGTCACCAGGCACATGGGAGAACAGGCCAACCCCCACCTCACTACAGCCTCCTTTAAGGTATCTGTAAAGAGCGATAAGGTCGCCCCTGAGCCTCCTCTTCTCCAGGCTGAACAAGCCCAGCTCCCTCAGCCGCTCCTCGTAGGACTTGTTCTCCAGGCCCCTCACCAGCTTCGTCGCCCTTCTCTGGACTCGCTCAAGCACCTCGATGTCCTTCTTGTAGCGAGGGGCCCAAAACTGAACACAGTACTCGAGGTGCGGCCTCACCAGAGCCGAGTACAGGGGGACGATCACCTCCCTAGCCCTGCTGGTCACACTGTTTGTTATGCAAGCCAGGATGCCGTTGGCCTTCTTGGCCACCTGAGCACACTGCTGGCTCATATTCAGCCGACTGAGACTAAGATACTCTGGTCATCAGAGGAGCAAGGACATAGGCAAGGCTGAAAGTCCCAACAGAGATTGTTGTGTCCATGCCTGCAGTTGTTGTCTCTGTCACTGAGGCCTATAAGGAGACAGCTCATTGCTAAAGTACCAGTGCCTCCTCATCCCCCCTGATGAACCAGGCAGGGGTCGTACCATTCTCCTGCACATCCCCATCTCCTACTGCCCCAGGAAGAGCCCGGAGCAAGGTGGGAAGGGAAAGGACCAGGTCAAGGCCTGGCCCTGGTGATTGGTGACACGCATCCACTTTGTGTACACCTCAGTGTCACCTTCATATTGCCTTTGTCTCCTTGTCCTCACTGCCTCCAGGGTTCTACTCTAACGAGCTCCAGGGAGGCTGTGTCAGTGCTGGCCCTCAGGGGGAAACTCCAGGAAACTTGCCTCTGACTTGGACTTCTGGAGAGATGTCTTCAATTGTCTCTGAGTGCCTGAGGTTTGTGGGCTCATCAGGAAAGCCCCCCCTTAAGGGTGATTGCAATACCTTGGGCTGGGCCTGTGCTGCTGAGCTGGGCCGGGCTCCTGGGACAGAGAAAACACATTTTAAAAACTCCTATGATGCAGAGAGACAGCTCTGCCCAGGAGCAGCTCCCCTGCACAGTGCATCAGAGCTGGGGGCTCTGACCGCAGGTGGCACAGAGAGAGGAGAAAAGGAGAGAGGGCTTGGAGGCAGTTGGGAGTGGGAGGATGCTGAGAGCTGCCTGCAGGAGAAATCTGAACAGCCCTTGACAAGGTAAGTGTCTGGCTGCAGGGCCATGAAGCTGCAGGTCCTGGAAGGGTCTCCTGCTTGGTCTTGTTTCTGGGAGGGCAGTGATCAATGCAGTAGGCTTTGAGAGTCCTGCTGGGTTGCAGTGTGAGGTGAGGAAGTGTGGCAGAAGCCCCTTGGAGTGTCATAACCTATCTACCTGTCGTGGTTTAACCCGGCCGGCAGCTAAACACCACGCAGCCGTTCGCTCACCCTCCCCCCTCCCTCTCTGGGACGGGGGAGAGAAATGGAGAGTGAAGCCCGTGAGTTGAGATAAAGACAGTTTAATAAGACAGGAAAATAATAATAACAAAATAATAATAACAATAATAATAATAATGATACAATGGTGATAATACGAAAGTAATAGTATGTACAAACAAGTGATGCACAATGCAATTGCTCACCACCCGCTGACCGATGCCCAGCCTAACCCCGAGCAGTCCGGCCCCCTCCCCCCAGCTAGCCACCCCTATATATTGTTTAGCATGACGTCAGATGGTATGGAATACCCCTTTGGCTAGTTTGGGTCACCTGTCCTGGGTCTGTCCCCTCCCAGCTCTTACTGCACCCCCAGCCTGCCCGTTGGCAGGACAGAGCAAAAGGCTGAGATGTCCTTGGCTTAGTATAAGCACTGCTCTGCAACAATTAAAGCATCGGGGTGTTATCAGCATTCTTCTCATCCTAAGCCAAAACACAGCATTCCACCAGCTACTAGGAAGAAAATTAATTCTGTGCTAACTGAAACCAGGACACTACCCCTAGACAGCCAAGAGACAAGTGCTAAGCCTCCTCCAGACACTGCAGGGTTGCAGCCGGGATGCTGGGACAGCCCAGCTTGTGGCTATTCAGGTTTGTCCGTGGGGTGTTCTCCTGGGCTGCAGGCTGCTCTCCAGCAGGTTACAGGTCCGTCTTGGCATCCTTGTGTTCTCCAGGTGCCCCAAGGAGAATAAACCTCTGTGCTAAGGCCGTGTTTGTACTGCTGGATGGCTGTCTGTGAGCATCTGGAGTGAGGCCTCTGAAGCCCTGGATACGAGGGAAGAGCTGAGATCCTGCTCATGCACCTGCAGATGAGGTGAAGATTCTGTTCAGTTGCACTGGGACTGGGGCTTCTCTCTCTCAGCTGTCTGTAGTTTCTTCTCAGGGAAACCACCGGGTTGGTTGTTCCTCCTAAATATTACAAGTGTAGCTACCAGAAAATAAAGCAAATAAATGCCCCCTGCTCTACAGTGTGGTTGGATGCTTTCTTTGAAGCAACATTTCAAAGCTTGTGGTCTGACCAGTGCACTGAACTTGAGTTCCCCTTTCTCCTGCTTCCCTCCTGCTGCACAGCAGGAAGGACTCATCTACAGCCCACAGCAGCCCCTGCTCCCAATGTCACTCCCAGCCAGCACAAGCAGCAGCTCAAGCAAGAGAGATGCAGAAAGGATCTCCTGTAAAGACAGAGGCTCAGGCTGGGAGTGTTCTAAGACTTGCAATGGGTTTTCCTGAGAGAAGTCTGTACTAACGTTGCTCTGCCTTCTCCTCTTCAACAGGCAACTGTGTCCAATGTCATTGAATGACAAACGTAAGTTCTCTGAGGGAGTTCCTCCTGCTGGCATTGGCAGACACGCGGGAGCTGCAGCTCCTGCACTTTGCGCTCTTCTTGGACATCTACATGGCTGCCCTCCTGGGCAACGGACTCATCCTCACCGCCATAGCCTGCGACCACCGCCTGCACACCCCCATGCACTTCTTCCTCCTCAACCTCGCCCTCCTCGACCTGGGCTGCATCTCCACCACAGTCCCCAAAGCCATGGCCAATGCCCTCTGGGACACCAGGTCCATCTCCTATCAAGGGTGTGTTGCACAAGTCCTCGTTTTTGTATTCTTCATTGGAGCAGAGTATTTTCTTCTCACCGTCATGGCCTACGACCGCTATGTTGCCATCTGCAAGCCCCTGCACTATGGGAGCCTCCTGGGCAGCAGAGCTTGTGCCCAGATGGCAGCAGCTGCCTGGGGCAGTGGCTTTCTCAATGCTGTCCTGCACACAGCCAGTACATTTTCCCTTCCCCTCTGCCACGGCAATGCTGTGGAGCAGTTCTTCTGTGAAATCCCCCAGATCCTCAAGCTCTCCTGCTCAGATGCCTACCTCACGGAAGCTGGGGTTCTTCTGGTTAGTGCCTGTTTGGGTCTTGGCTGCTTTATTTTCATTGTGGTGTCCTATGTGCAGATCTTCAGGGCTGTGCTGAGGATGCCCTCTGAGCAGGGCCGGCACAAAGCTTTTTCCACGTGCCTCCCTCACCTGGCTGTGGTCTCCCTGTTTATCAGCATGGCCATGTTTGCCTACCTGAAGCCCCCCTCCATTTCTTCCCCATCCTTGGACCTGGTGGTTGCAGTTTTATATGTGGTAGTGCCTCCAGCAATGAACCCCCTCATCTACAGCATAAGGAGCATGGAGATCAAGCATGTACTCTGGAAAGTTATGCGTAGATATGGTCAAGATGCAATACATTTACAATCTGCTTCTGTAGATAACTCATAATGTAACTTATTACAGGAACAATGTTCTCTCTCTTCCTTCCTTCCTTCCTTCCTTCCTCCTTCCTTCCTTCCCTTCCTTCCTTCCTTCCTTCCTTCCTCCTTCCTGCCTTCCTTCCTTCCTTCCTTCTTCCTTCCTTCCTTCCTTCCTTCCTCCTTCCTGTCCTTCCTCCTTCCTGTCCTTCCTCCTTCTTCTTCCTTCCTTTCCTTCCTTCCTTTCTTTCTCTTTCTTCTTTCTTTCTTCTTTCTTTTCTTTCTTACTTTCTTTTCTTTTCTTTCTTCTTTTCTTTCTTTTCTTTCTTCTTCTTTCTTTCTTTCTTTCTTTCTTATTCTTTCTTTCTTTCTTTCTGTTCTTGCATTTTTAGTACAGGTTTGCTTGTGTTTTTCTTTTAGTTTTACTAATGTTACCCAATAAATGGTATTATTCATTCTTATTTAAGTCTGTACGCGTCGAGTATAGCTCAGAGACTGTAAATGAGAAGCCCATCTCTCTGTGAATTAAACTTAAGTAAGGAGCCTGCAGTGCATGCTTTGTCTGACGTCCTTCCTCTGAGACCTGGTCTGGCTCTGCAGGGGCAATGCCTGTGTGCAGAGGTGCAGAGGAAAAGGGTCCCACCCCAGCAGCACGGCCAGGGAGCACCAGCGCTTGGGGCATGCAGAGCTGCTCTCTTGCCACTGCCACCCTCTCCTGTGTAGTGGGTTTACGTGGCAAGGTTTTGGTAGCAGGGAGCCATAGGGGTGGTTTCTGTGAGAAGATCTAGAAGCTGCCCCATGTTTGGGAAGGGCCCCATTTTTTTCAAGATCTGAGCCAATAAGCGATGTTGTTTTACGCCTCTGTGAGAGCATATTTAAGACAGGGAAAAAAACGCTGCGCCACACAGCAGCCGGGAGAGTGAAGGGAGTGAGAAAACAGCCTTGCAGGTGCCAAGGTCAGTGTAGAAGGAGGGAGAGAGGTGCTCCAGGCGCCGGAGCAGAAGTCCCCTGCGGCCTGTGGTGAGGACCATGGTGAAGCAGGATGTCCCCCTGCAGCCCATGGAGTACCACGGTGGAGCAGGGTTCCATGCTGCAGCCCGTGGAGGAGACCACGGTGGAGCAGGTGGCCCTGCACCGACAGAGGCTGCTGCCTGTGGAAGACCCCTGCCGGAGAAGATTCTGGGCCGGACCTGTAGCCCGTGGAGAGAAGACCACGCAGGAGCAGGTGACCTGGCAGGAGCTGCTGCCCATGGGAGAGCAAGGTTGGAGCAGTTTTCTCCTGAGCGATGGACCCCATGGTACGGACCCATATCTGGAGCAGTTCTGGAAGAGCTGCTGCCTGTGGGAAGCCCACGCTGGATCAGTTCATCAAGGACTGCATCCCGTGGGTGGGACCCCACAGCACAGGGGACGAGAGTGACTGAGAAGGAGCGGCAGAGAAGAAGTGCTGTAGACTGACCATAACCCCCATTCCCCTGTTCCCCTGCGCCGCTCGGGGGGAGGAGGTGGAAGAGGGTGGATGGGGGGAAGGTGCTTTTGGTTTCTTTCCTTTGTTTCTCACTTCTCTCGCTTGTTAGTAATAGGCAATAAATCTTACTATCTCCTTATGCCGAGTCTGTTTTGCCCGTTACAATAATTACTGAGTGATTTTCTCATCCTTGTCTCAATCCTTGAGCCCTTTCACATATTTTCTCCCCATTCCTCTTTGAGGAGGGGGAGTGAGAGAGCGGCTGTGGTGGAGCTCGGCTGCCCACTCGAGCGGAACCACGACATCCTGCTGAGCCCTGCTGGTGGTGAAGTAAGAAACAGATACTAAAGTTTTGACTGCAGAACTGTAGCATATCTAGAGAAGTCACCTAATGCTGATTTTGCAAGTTTTAGTTAACACAGATGCATATTGTAAGTCAACCACAAGGACAGGGAGTATGAGTATGGGACATCGCTAAAAGATAAGGGAAGAAAAGACTTTGTACGCATAGACAATAGAACCAGCAAGAACTGGCTTGCACTGCTGAAGTCTGCAAATGAGAGGAAGTGTCAAAAGTTTAGCAGTGGGGAAGACTTCTGTCCCTCATCAAAAGACCACCAGAGTACAATGGACAACCACCCGAGGACTCTAAAGCACACGTGAATAGGGGCAGGAACCTCAGTTAATGATTCTTTGGATACTTAATGAATATGCAAGAGACTTACAGGGGAAGTGAAATGAATATGTATCTATCCCATCATTATAAGCACCCAGGTAGTAATCCTTGGTGTGCAAGTTAAGAGGAGCAATACCCCTTGCACCCAGCACTGCAATAAACACACCTCCTTTAAAACACTCCTTGAGCTGTAAAATTTGTTTCCATGTACCAGGCTGATGGCTGATGCCTGCCTGGAGAGGAATCCGGAGCTTCCAGGAGATGTTGGGGGATCTCCATGAAGAATACGCAACGCTGAGTTGGCAGTGATTAGAACCATGAGTGACCATCCAAAGAAGAGTCTGGTAAAGGAAAAGAGGAATCTGAGGAGTCCGTGAGCTAAGGAGGGCTCTGCAATGCCAGGACAGCTGCTGAAGAGTCATCAGGCAAAGGACCATGAGACTACAGAGCAATTGAGGAGACCGTCTTTGGAGTGTCATGGGTCAGGCCTTGTGTTTATTTACATTAAATAAACACAGGCCACTGTGTTTATTTAATGGCTTGGCACATCAGTCCCACAAATGTGTCAAGCTTTACTGGATACTGGTGCACAGTGTACCCTAATGCCATCAAGACTTAAAGAGGTAGAACCCACCTGTATTTCTGGAGTGACAGGAGGATCCCAGCAGTTAACTGTACTGGAGGCTGAAGGGAGTCTAACTGGGAAGGAATGGCAAAAGCACCCCATTGGGACTGGCCTGTGCATTCTCAGCATAGACTGTTTCAGGAGAGGGTACTTCAAAGATCCAAGAGGGCACTACTGGTGGGGCTTTGGCATAACTGCCTTTGAGATGGAGGATCTTAAACAGTTGTCTACTGTTATAAATTAGACCACACAATTTACTGGTCTATTGAAATTATTTTATTAATCAAGTAAGCAGACACAAGCAAAGCAGCGTTGGGCGGCTGGGGAGTCTCCGCTCCACCACGGCACGCAACTTCCCCTTTCCAGTGTTTCTGTTTTATAGCATTGAAGTTCCGGCTTGTCGAGACTTGTCGAGACCTGTCGAGACCTGTCGACTTGTCGAGACCTGTCGACTTGTCGACTTGTCGAGACCTGTCCAGAGACCGCGCAGTCTGTTGTTGGGGGTCGTTATTCTTCCTCCAGTGATCATGCGTTGTGCTTGTGTTCAGGTGGGGGCAAAACAGGATGTCTTGCAGTGGGTGGGTGGTATCTTACAAAATCTTTGTTTTAACAAGGATGTTCACCCAACCCCCCTTCCCCATTTGTCCCCATGTTACAATGCCGTGAGTTGTGAAACCTTATCTCCTCAGTAGATTATTTAAATTCTCAAGGACAATGAACAAACCCCTACTAATTTATCACATCTACCTTGCTTGGCCTTCCACAGAATCCTTCTGTTGTGGATTTGCTGAGGGTTGAAGAACAGCAGGTGCCAATGGCTACCATGGTAGCGCACCTGAGGCAGCATCACACTAACCAGGACTCCCTGATTGCCATCCATGAGCTGGTTCATTGACTGGAGAGCCAAGGTGTAGCTGTAGAACTTGGTAGCATGGTTTAGTGATGGATTTGTCAGTACTAAGGTAAAGATGCATGACCTGGTTTACACGTCCTTGAGCAGTGTTAGGCACAATGCAATTCTTTTTGCCTTCTGCATCTATAGCACAGGAAGCATGACTTTGCCCTACTCTATTGACTGGGCAGGTCTTTTCACATTACTCAATTTAGGTTTCTGTGGCTCGAAGGAGATTTCCCAAAAGAGGCCAAGCTCATGGGTACAGCTACAGCCACTTGAAGAAATATTTTCTTTACTTTTCTTCCTGAGTTTTCCACAGAAGACCCAAGAGACACCATGGATGTCCAGGTGTCTACTAAGATTTAAGCTGAGTTTCTCAGATTCCAACGGTTATTTCAATTTTATTATTTTATTTTATTTTATTTTATTTTATTTTATTTTATTTTATTTTATTTTATTTTATTATTTATTTTGTTCCCAAAGTACAACTGACTTTTCTTAGAAAGGGTTTCATGTGCTGGGCTGGGCTGCAGTTACATTGACAAAGACCACTGCTGGCAGTGGAGGTGTCAGACCTCCAGACTCTGCTTTTCCTCCTGATGGAGGTCTCCAAAGAAGTCACCCTGGAATAACAGCAATAGGAGAATGATGCTCAAAACTGAAAAGGAGCAAAATTCAGACTTTGAAACAAGAAGTTTTTGATTAGGTGCTTTTTGGAATCTTCTTCCTTAACTGCATCATGCAAGCTCTGCCATTAGCTGAACAAATCTTGAAGTCTTTAAGAAAACTGTGGTAGAGATGTTAGGAGCTTCTTCATTTTAATGAGGACCATGGTGTATTTTGGTGCTGAGTCTATGAAGCTCAGGTACTGAGAGGAGAGTGATGTAACCGCTTGAGCAAGTCAAGTCAGGAGGCACAAAAGCTGAAGTGACTTGGAGTGTTAATGGGCCCCACTGAGGGCTGTTACTAACAAAGCCTCCCCAGGGCCTTGTTAGGACAGATAATTGGAGTCACTGAATTAAAAAATAATGCATGTGTAAAACATTGAGACTGAGAAATGTGCTCTAGGCCATCATGAAGGGATAACAAAGAAGGTCAACAGTGTTGCCCAAGTGCCCATTAGTGAGGGATGTTGCTGGTATCTGGCTGGCAGGAGGACTTTGTACCACTAATGTCCAGACACCTTCCCCCACAAAACATCATCCCCCTCTTCAGTCCAAATATCACCAGTGTGGCTAAAGGAAACCCCAGGAAACCATGGCAAAGGCCTTGCTAAAGTGCAGGTTCACCACGTTCCCTTCTTTCCCCTCCCCTTCTGTTTCAGCAGTTCCTTTGTTTTCTCCAAGTGTCTGAAGATGGCTGTGGCA